CGGACCTGAACCCAATCGAGATGGTTTGGGGTGAGCTGGACCGCAGAGTGAAGGCAAAGGGGCCAACAAGTGCTAAACACCTCTGGGAACTCCTTCAAGACTGTTGGAAAACCATTTCAGGTGACTACCTCTTGAAGCTCATGGAGAGAATGCCAAGAGTGTGCAAAGCAGTAATCAGAGCAAAGGGTGGCTATTTTGAAGAAACTAGAATATAAAACATGTTTTCAGTTATTTCACCTTTTTTTGTTAAGTACATAACTCCACATGTGTTCATTCATAGTTTTGATGCCTTCAGTGAGAATCTACAATGTAAATAGTCATGAAAATAAAGAAAACGCATTGAATGAGAAGGTGTGTCCAAACTTTTGGCCTGTACTGTATAATTTAATACATATTTTTAACTGTTTAACTACTGATATCAGTCACACAAAATACTTATTGTTTTATACTTATTGCTGTGGATCGGTCTATTGTGTCTCACTGTGAGTGATCATGCAAATACAGGACATGTGTGCAGTAGGGGATGCAGTGAAGCTTCAGTCCAGTAGGTGATGCCATCACTGGAGTTACTGTTGTAATACACACAGTAGATTACTGAGCAATATTTCATCAGTCTGTAGTTACATTTCTGGGCACTACTTCATTTCACTGGCACACAGACGGTGCTAAAGTACTGATGCACTGCAGTGTGTGTGTGTGTGTGTGTGTGTGTGTGTGTGTGTGTTTTAAACTCTCACACTCAGCAGTGAACAGAGCAAGCAGACCCAGACTTTTTCATATTTTACAATTTCTCATTCATCCTCCCTCTCTCCCTCTCAAGCTGCAATGACGCATGTAGTCTAGTCTACATCTCCGCTCTTTAATTCTTTGATTCTCGTCCTGCTGCTCTTTTTACTCTTTTATCTCTCTTTCATCTCTTGATCTCCGTCCCTCTCTCTTTCCTGCCTTTCCATCTCTTTGATTGTCTTTTCCCTTCTTCCCATCTTTCCTTTCACACGCTCACATCTGACTTTCTCTTTCAAAGCATCTGGAGCTTTTGATTGCATATCAAAACAGAGGGGCACCGCTCGCCTTTGCATAACAACAGTCAACAAAAGCTATTAACAGTAATTAGATGGCTGGCTCCTAAAAATTTTTCATCTGTTAAGTGCTGATATGTTCTTTCAACAAATCATCATTCAGGGGAGAAAGTCTGAATTACGATCAGCGTGACGCAACTAGAACGTCAGAGCGCGTTGCTACGTTTGAAGTAGTCTGTCAAATCTTTTTGAGTGTGTTTCTCCTGTTATGACAGGATGTGTATCTGGAGTGTGTGTTCAAGATGAAGAAAAAGGTCTGAGTACCTTGTGAAAATTAGTATCTAATTTGCTGAGTCTGTTTCCTGTATGTGTGTGTGTGTGTGTGTGTGTGTACTGATTTATGCTGTCGTCACTGCAACACTGTGCGTGATGGGAGAGCTGAGCATCTGACACACTGAATCACCTTACACATCACAGGGCAACACACCCACGTAGCAGACACATACACACACAACCCTTTACTCATTCACTCTGCCTCAAATACACACTGCAGGTCACGCATCTCATGTACAGTGGTTGTAGCAGCACGTACAGTAACTGAACCTGTGTCTGTGTGTGTGTGTGTGTGTGTGTGTGTGTGTGTGCGTGTGTGACTGGTGCCTGGTCCCTGATGTCCACACCCTGCCACTGCAGTCCTGTCTTTTTATCCTCCCCTCTCTTCCTCCCTCTCTCCCTCCCTCCCTCTAGTGAATAATGAATGAGTGGTGAAAGCAGAGAGCCGTTTTCTCTCTCTAGATCACACACACAAGCATGCACGCACACTGTAGGGTCAAACCAACCACACACACACACACGTTAAGATTCTGATCATGTTGGGAAACACTGTTATGTTTTTTTTTTTGTGTGTGTGTGTGTGTGTGTGTGTGTGATGTGTGTTTTCATGTCCTTGCCTGCACTCTTCTCCATGTCAGCCAGTGTTGTTTGTGTGTTTGTGTGTTTGTATGTAAACACTGATTAATATGTCCTTGATGATAACCTTTAACATCCTCCCACACACTCACACACCTTGGGTTGTTTGAGTGTGCCTGTGTGTTTCAAAGGGTGGCTACAGTGGGATTAACAGGGATTAAAGTGGAACTGCTGAGTCTGAACCATCATTTTCTACACTGTGTGTGTATGTGTGTGTGCTGGTGTGCCTACTTATCACCTTTCTTGTTTTTCCTCCTTCAGGCAGAAAAAAACTGCATACGTGTAATTTTCTGTGTGTCTATATCAGCAGCGTCTTCGATTACTCAGTGGGTCGATGCAGGGTGGGCCAGGAGCCCAGTGAGCGTCAGGCTGTTCCTATTTTAAGACGTGTGTCTGAAAACTTGAAAGTTCTGTAGTGTTGGCTGTAGTCCCGGGAAGGCTTTCTGTTTTTTCTTACTCTCTGCAAACCAAAGCAACCTTTGCCGGATAAATGCCACACAGGGTTGCTGCTGGTCATATGTACAGTATAAAAGGTGCACTGAGAACAAGGAAGATGCTCTTCTGTTAAAGTGGGATTGTGAGGGAACAATCCAACCCTTTTATCTCATCTAAAACTCACATTTATTGCAAAGTATAGTTGTATGTAGCTGCTTGTTTTAAGTGGAAAATTAGCATTATTTTTGCTGCCATTTTTGCTGAAACTGTCACTATGAGACAGATAAAATGTGAAAAATTACACTTCTCTGCCTACTCTGTTCTCTTGTAGTGGCTCTAATGGCCTTACTGCATGTGAACGAAAACAACCAAACAGCCGAGGAGTCTCTAACACAGGTGTCAATCATGTTAACCATTGCTTGTGAACTGCGGTCAAACTGTCAAACTAGGCAGTGCTGATCAAATATCAATCAAGATTCTGTTACTGCATTGCCTATTTCTTGCCTCAAATTTTTTCAGAAACATATTTTAGTGTACTGTTTAGCTGTAAAATGAGAACGTTTGTGACCCGGCTGCCTATAAATAAAATGTATGATTATTATTATTATAATTACTATAATTAAAACGTGGGTGGCATCTAATTTTTCATACCTTAATACCTGTCTGACATTTCACTGGGGAATACTGTATGTGACCTTATTTGTGTAAAAAAAAGAAAGAAAATAATCCTAAAAGCTGAGCTGCTAGTGGTCAGTGTAGTATGCATGAAATTGTCTAGCCTACAGTGTAGGGTTGGGTGATATGTCAAAATTTCCAACCAGCCTCCGACACCTCAAACAACCAGCGACTACTGATATATTCACAGTGTTGTGCGTAGATGTGAAAATCTGCTGACTCTACTGATGTTGCTGGCCAGCTTTTTACGAGACATTATCCCCACCACTCACAGTCATGAGTCACTTCCACTGATTGAGGTGTTAAAAAGTCTGTGGGCATGAAGGATCTCCTAAAGCGTTCAGTCCTGCAATGCAGCGATCACTGTGACTGCTTCTCTGTCCTGCCATGGTGTTGTGGAGAGGGTGGCTGCTGCGTTCCCTGAGGATGGCCTGCACCTTGCTCTGTGTGCGTCCACACACCACAGTCCCCACTGAATCCAAGCCCCTGCCAAGTCCTGAACCTGCCTTCTTAATCAGCTTGTTCAGCTGTTTCCTGTTCTTGTCCGTCATGCTGCCTCCCCAACAGTGTATGGCGTACAGGAGTGCACTTGCCACCACTGATTGGATAAAACATATGCAGCATGTCAGTGCACACATTAAAAAACCTAAGCTCACGGAGAAAGATGAGCCGGCTCTCCCTTCCAGTAAATGGCGTCTGTATTCACTGACCAATGTGTTTCCTGCTGTAGAGTGAGTTATGTCTTGACAGAGACAGCAAACTAGCTCAACAACTTGGCCAAACACAAGTATGATGCTGAATATATTTAAATCTGTGGACCTTGGAGGGAATCACTAAGAAGACATCTGAACCCCATGGCTTGACCAGTTGTTTCTGAAAGCTTTTGAGGCAAAAAGTAGACAATGCAGTCACAGAACCATGATTCATATTTCATCAGTGCTGTCTAGTTTGACAGTTTGACCGCAGTTCATGAGCAGTGAGTGACATGATTGACAGCTTCATTAGAGATTCCTCGGCTCTGATTGATCCTAGTGAATGACATTAGAGGCAGTAGAAAAAAGGAGGAGTGACATGATTTTTTTCCACAGACTATCTGTCTCATGCTCTTTCGGAATGCAGTGACAGTTTCAGCAAGTATGACAAAAAAAGTAATTTCGATAAAAGTTACCAACTGCTTCAAACCTGGTACACTACACTCATGGAAACAGTAGGAGTGTCACTTGGTCCAAACACATGGAAAGTGATGTTATTCGTTGAAATGTATACAGTCCATGTATCCTAATCCTCAACTACATGCTAAAACTGACATTTTTCACAAATAAAAAGTGACGGCCCTTAGAAAATAAAATATACAAAAGTAGAAATTTGTGGTGCAGCCAACAATTTCCCTGTACAGATGTGTGTCCTTTCAGGTGAAATGTTCCTGACTGCTACATAGGAATGACTAGATACAGACGATGTGCTGATTGCTATAGAAATTGAAATTATACAGAAGAAGTCATCAGTAATATTTCATTATGAAAAAGTAGCTATTTGGAGGCACTCCAACCAGCCTCATTTTAAAGTGGGAAGGGATGACATCATCTTATTATAGCACACACAAGTGAATGCCACCTCCATCTCTTCTTCCATGCCTTCATTACAGCCTCACAGGAGTATGCTGGGAGTGGCTGTAGATATATACAGCCGACCTTTCTCCTCTGTGTGGAGCTATATTAGTTTATGTAGGTTTCCACACAGTGGGGAATAATTTATCTCTACAAATCACTATGTTGACAACAGGAAGACCCACTTCCACAGAATAATGAGACACTGTTACAGTACAACTGTCTATAACTACACACCGTACAGGGCAATAGTGAACTCCAGCAGGCTTACACAGTGTGTTTTCTCCCAAACTAGAACTTCCAGGCCCTGCCAAGACAGCCACTTCAAATCACCAAGAAGCAGTACATCCAAGGTAAGGCACACACACACTCATTAATACACACACCTCCCACACGTTCTAGAGAACGAGGCAGTGATAAATGTCGAGGTGCGCGTGCTTGTGTGTGTATGTGTGGGTGAGGGAGACATCTCTCAGGGCATACAAAAACTGATGAGCAGTGAGCTAGTAAAGAGGCTTTATGATGGTAGAAGGAGGGTAAAAGTCCACAGCAGCAAAGGGCAAGTCACTAAAAGTGTCTCCTCCATATGTGTGTTTATCTGAACTGCACTGGGGCTTCTGGTATATAGTTTGTTTATGTTGCATCTATTTCATTTTAGGATGATATTTAAAATTGCACCGTAAGCTTATAACATGAAAATATTTTACATTTAGCCTATTCAGCCCCGCATGATTATACAAGATCAAAAAATGAAACGTTTTCCTTTTACCAGTTCTGCCTTGACACCTTAACATTTTCAGACAGGAAAATGGCACTTAAAGCTGGATTAAACCAGATTAAGTAGGTCCTATTGTGTTTAAAATAGAACTGGAAGTTGTTTTCTCTTCTCTTGATATAAGCTTATGTCAGTTTGATGAGAACAGAAAAAGATGGTGGACAGAAAATTATCAAAAGCAAATGGGAAGTGGCAGGATTCACTGTGAGCGTGGCCTTTTTATAGTCAGGAACCATCAGGGACGTACAACTGAGAAAATGAACAGCTGCTCTTAATTGATCACGTACTGTATGTAACATCAGTACCAAACCTTTCTTTAATCTGCAGTGTAATATCTCTGTTTACTTTCATGAAAAGAATGTTTTCTCCAAGACAGCTTGGGGGAGGACATTATCCATATGGACACAAGCGTCAATTTAGCAATCTTAGTTTTGATTATATTCCCATCACTCCTTCTCTGTTCCCACCGCCTGTCTTCTTGTCATCTCTTCTCCCTTGGAATAAAATTTTAATTACCTCATCTCGCCCTTGTTGCACACAGTCATTATTTGATAAAAACTGCTGCACAGACACTTTAGGAAAACAGCCTGACTCTTCATTTTGGTTGTTTGAGATCTGCATCAGTTATATTATGACAAAATTGTAATTCATAACAAGTCCAGTGTGTAGGATGTAATGGCATCTATTGGCAGAAACTAGGGGTGTAACGGTACACAAAAATCACGGTTCGGTACGTACCTCGGTACACAAGTCACAGTTCGTTTTTTTCGGTACAGTAATGAAAAAAATAGACAACTATTAAATATCTTTTACTTATTGGTAACCTTATTAAAACATACCACCACAGCAGTTAACTCTTTTTACACAATTTTTGAATGAAACAAATATATATAAAATCCTGCTTTTTCACATTGTTTGAATGAAAATAGAAATATAAAAGTGAAAAATAAAATCCTGCTGTTTTTTTAACACATTTTTTTAATGAACAATATAAATATAAATTTCTGCTTAAACAGTTTTACTCAATTAAAATAAAAAGTATAGTGCAGCTGGTCAGCTTTAAAGCCTGCTCAGATTCAGTTTTACAAGGAACTTACTTAGCTTTCCCACTTTGTTAAAGTGCAGTAAACAAAACATGCTTATATCTAAAGTGCAGCATAAACAATTTTACTCTACTTTAGTGTGATGGTCAGGGAAACGCTCTTTCTTTTTGAACGACGACGATATCGTAGTTTGCACCAGATTGCTTTTTCTAGTCGTGCCAGTTAACGTTCAAACTCAGGTGATGTCGCTTTAGATGCGTTAGCATGTTAGACGTGTTTCAAAGTACATACCCGACCGCTGTTCTGCAGTGTCGGCACACTGCTTTTGTCTTGTCAGCTTGTTTATTTCCATCTTCGTATTTTACCCTGAAACCAAAGTGTTCCCAAACGGAGGACTTAAGGTTTGCGGGTGGGTCTTCAGGTTCGTCAGGCTCACTTGCCATGTTGTCACAATGCGAGAATGCGCTGCACAAAGTGAAAGCGGAGATTTATGGTCGGACTCAGTCCGTCACTCAATTATGTCCGTCGGGGAACTAGATATTTTAAATGGATCGGCTCGCAAAAACGGAATTAAAATAAAACAAAATAAAATAAAATAATATCCTGCGCCCAATAATTCGGTACAGGGTCGTGCTGAACCAAAAGTCGCGTACTGAAAGGCTCGACACAAATACATGTACCGTTACGGCCCTAGCAGAAACGGTACGTAATGTTCATAACTATGTTGTTAATGTGTATAATCACCTGAAACTAAGAATCGTATTTTCGTTCCCTTAAGCGGGATTTATACTTGTGCCTATGCACGTAGCCTACGCCATTGTGAGCATTTATACATGTGCTGTGGTGTGTCTGTGTCACTCTGCAGTTACACCTCAAAAACACTAGTATATGGCGGAGGTTTTTGTGAAGTGCTGTAAAGTTTAGTTGATTCAAAACACACATTAAACATGGCTTAATAGAGACAATTTCAAACACAAGTACACAAATCAGCTTCACTATAACTCGCAGCATTCACAGACAAACATTTGTCTTTATCTGGACACATTTTCCCCACAAATACAACATGCTAACGTTATTAGCACAAGCCTATGGCATTTTACATTGTATAAATTAGCCTAGCAGCTAGCGATCTTTTCCTCTTCTCATATAAAACCAGGGACAACAGCAACATTTAACAAAGGTAACGGTACATAATTTGGCTCCATTACAACTCACAAGGTTCACAGATGAAACAACTACAACTGTCTTATACTAAACATGCTTTCCAAACAAATATAACATGCTAATGTTATTAGCACAAGCCTATGGCATTTTACATTGTATAAATTAGCCTAGCGACGAGCAGAGATTTCCTCTGCTCATATGAAGCCAGGATAAATCACACACAAGACTTAAAATGCTATTTTTGTGGAGGCTTTGTTGTCTTCACAATTTATTGTTTTTTTTTATCTGTGAAATTAAAGTAAATAAAAGGTTTTTTTCTACTGAGGGAAATGGTTTCAGCTTACAGAAATAGACATGAGGTCTGCGTCACCACAAAGTGTAGTTACATTTCTGGGGAGGTTCACGTCAGGCTACGGCGTAGATTACGGTGTTGATTCAATGCAGAAGTATAAATTCCACCTTAGAATGAACCATTTGCATCTACATAAGGAGCGGGTCCTCTCCCACAGAGTCCACCATGTTCTCTCTACAGTAGCCCAGAATGGAAAAATCAAAGCCTGGATCTGGATATCACCTTTTGCATTTTCACGTCAGCCACCCTTGTTCTCCTACACGCTTGGTACACAGGAGAGGTTTCAGTTCTGCAACCTCACCTCTTGATGCCACTAAATCCTTCACACTGAACTATTAAATGAGCAAAATAAAATGACAAAAAATACCCAAAAATAGAGCAACCTGCAATGTACTCAGCCAGTCACTGATATATTTTGTCTCGCCACTACTTTGATTTCGAGCATTTTGCACTTTTTTGTTGTACTTCACAATTACATGCACAATACTGCTGTGAGGAGCTACTGGCTGTGTGCCGTCTGGTCGGCGTACAAAAGCATGTGTTGACAGTGTTTTTGCACTGTATTCTCAGTTTTCCAGAAGGGGCAGACAAAAGTCCGCACCAGAGAGTTAAAATTCTAGTTAGTTGTCACTGAAGGCCACAACACTTGAACTGAAGCACCTGTTTCCACTGAAGGCTTAAACTCAAAAAAATTGTTGTTAAACCACCACCACCACGGTTTCATGATATTATACAATTATTATTGTAATTATTATTATATACGTATGACAGGCAGCTGAGGAGGAAAGGAGATGCTTACACGGTATGATAACTGTAAATTTTCATACCACGGTATATAATTTCATGGTATACTGCTGCAACCCTAGACGTAAGATTACAAAATTATGCAGTGCTCTAGTTCAGGCAAAGAATAGGGTCAATATTGATTTAAACTGCCTGTAGATTTCAAAGTAATTTCAGCATGTTTACTCATAGATCACTGCAGTGAATATTAGATTTTCACTTATTCATACTCCAAACTGTTGGTCAGTACAACTATGATGTCATAGGTTTTTGCCTGCCACTGCGCAGACACCACTTGACAAATGATCAGCCTCTAATGAGGATGCCTGGTCGTGGTTTTTAGAGGTCATCACTTATCTGGAGGGCTCCAGTTTAATACTTGTCTGCTCCAGGGTTACCAGATTAGCTGGCTGGCAATGGATACCAACCACAGGACAGAAACAAAATTTCTCCATTTGCAGATGAATAAAACATCAAAACAAGTGCATCCATCTGTTGGCATGGCCAGGCCACACTGACTCTGCTGTCAGTCACAGCCAGTGCAGCCACATTCAGCATTATAGCTCTATTTCTGTCCCTTGCCTCCTCCGTGTTTCTGTGTTTCTTTCTCTCTCTGGGTGATTCATAGGTGCTAACATCAGCACCTCTGCTCCTCACTTACTCAGATTCCCAAAGCTCCTTGTCATCAAATCCTGCCCCTGCTGCATCCCTCATATCATCCCTTCTCTCCCTCCACCAGTATTCCTGTTCTCTCCATTTGTCTTCCTGTGTCAGTAACCGCTTTGTGTCTTGAGGTGAGAGGTGAAGCCCCAGTCACAACTGATTACAGTGATCATATGTGTGTGTGAGGCCACATTTTCAGTGTCAGCATGTATGTGCTCGTGTGTGTGCACATCCTGCTGCAGTTATATTTTCTTCATGCTGACGTGGGATGCAATGGTTCATTGTTACCCATCATTTCTCCCACACTCAAGTCAGCACTTCAGTCCAGCTCCTCTATTGAAGAGAGTGCAGTGATAGACTGATCCTGATTGGATTCTGATTTGCCTCTAAATGGGGCGCTGCGGCTTCATAACTTAACTTCTCATTAAGTCAGATGTCAGTGTTAGCTCCTTTTATTGCTCCTCTAAGTCCACAGCTGCTCACTGTCTGCGTTTCTGTGTGGCTTCTCTCTGCCAAATATACACACAGGATATTGGATCCAAATGACTGTGTTATGCTGTATGTTTGGTCAATAAATTAGTTTTGAAATGTGCTGTGAAAGACGTCCATATGCTACATGATGAGATGCTCTGCTCATTTATGGAAGGTCGATTCAATTTATTTCTGCCATACATGGCCCCTAACCAGCGTCACTAATAACAGAATTGAGAAGTGATAGAGCATGGTACAATTACGAAGGCATTTGAGATGGGCTAAGTGTTTCTATGGCTTTCAGTGTATGGTCATACATGGCACACAAGTTGCGATTATTTACTAAATCCTATCTTTCTTGATTTTAAGAATGTTTAAGTATACTTTAACCCAAGAGAATTTTTTTTCATGTAACATTTCTTAATTTTTGTGAACTTTCAGTTCATAATAGTGATGAGAATACATTTAAAAAGGCCATTTATATACTAACATAAAACAATAGATTGTACTATAATAGTTGTAAATGTTGATTAGACCTGAAACAGAGTATTTTAATCACACGTAATGTGGATTCTTCTTGAATTAGACTCTGTTTGGCCAAGGAAACTCATTCAAATTGTCTAAATGTATGTTCACTACAAACACATTTGTCGGAAACTGGCTATAGTTTTCTTTTACTCGACAAAATAAACTAAATTTGCAAGCAAGTTACCGGAGGCTATTGTAATATATTTGCACATTTAAAGTTGCATGCACTTTGCACTGAGGTGTTTCTCAGGGGTCTGTGTTTGGTCCCCTCAGGAAAGGAGGAAGAAGTGGTGACTGTTCATCCTCGGGCAATGTTTATTCCTCAGGAGGGGTGGACTTTTCTCGCAGCAGGTAAGACGATAGTAACGTCAAATTTTCACTTTCATACAGCACTATTTTTGCCCCTGTCACCCAACCAGATACAAAGTAATGAGGCTCAGGTCATAGTAACATAGTTTATCAGTGGGTCCCAGGTCTTGTAAAATCTCTTCATGGAGGCGCTGAGGGTGCATCTGATTTTTTTCCAGCTTGATATTTTGCATCACACCTTTGATCCATTGGCTGTGTGATGGAGGGATTACATCCTTCCATTTGAATAGAAGTGAGCGTCTTGGTAATTGGGAGGAAAGGGCAATAGCCTTCTGTAAGTGAGCAGGGATATTTGAACCATCTGGAACTGAGAATATACCAAAAATACCAATAGGAGAGGACAAAATATTACAGCCTAAAGCCTTGAAAATGGTGTCAAAAAGGATAACCAGGATGGTGGCTGGGGTCCGTTTATACCTGTCACATACAGGGCTATAGTGTAGCCGATGTAGCACTTTAAACTGTGTGAAGAAAAAGCAATGTCCCATTCCTCATTTGAGAGTGGGCTGAGCACCTTTTTATATATTGTTTGACTTCCTGATGTCATCATACATAAAATGTTTTAATCTTTAAAAACAGTAACTTCATCATGCAACTAACAAGTTAAGGTCACTACAAGTGGCAGCCTCTGCAGCTGAAAAGCCAACACGGAAGTACCAAAAACTGCAGTTCCTTTAATGGCCACATGAGATTGGCTCCAAAAGCGAGTCAGTCCCCATAGACCCCATGTTAAAATGCCCAACTTTACAGCAGAACTAAACATGTTTACAGCCTGGCACAAAAAACACTTTTGGTCTCTATAGCTACTTTAAAACATTTATGACACCTGTGCGGGGGGATTTTATATACCTCACCCATTTACATTTTTATTAATGCTTAAAGTTATACATAATTAAGGGTCCCAGGCTGTCTGTAAGGCACCACACCACCACAGTCCATGAGTCAGATCCATCCCTCGCTCCTTCACAACCCCACCCTCTTGTCCATATATGGTCACTTCTGGTTCCAAAAGTTCAAGGTGGTGACAGCTAAAATGCCAAACTTAAGCAGTCCACAAACCAGTGGGTGGTGTCATGGTTGCTACATCCCTTATTCTTATACAATCTGTGGGTACTTCTAATAGATTAAAATCAGAAATCACTGCACATTTAGCTGCTCAGGCAGGTCATATCATTAACTGTTGAACCAGCCACTCACTAAACCTATGAGGGGGTTTTAGCCTTCTTGGAAACGTGTATGAGCACCTGTTTTGACAGCGGCACGACAGTCAGACACATGAGTGACTTAACAAGTTTCTGAGACGTCTTGAGTTTTAGTCCTACCAGGGATGCACCAGTTTATTGGCTGAACATGGGTTTTGGCTGATACTGTTGACTGCCTTCAGCCTATTGGTAAATAAGATGACATTCACCAATGGCAGAGGCCCATGTTTTTCCCTTGTGTCACATTAATTTTGCTCAGACTAAAAAGCAGACCTCGAGACTAAAGGCCATAGAGTATTGGGCAAAGGTAAATTCTAACATTCTCATCATGTGTTCACTGCAATCTTGTCAGATGTAGTTTTCGGTGAGAATAAATATAACTGTTTAAAAGAGAAATTTGTCAATGTTTTTACAGGAATATAAAATAGATATTAGAGAGGGAACTATGATGCAAAGGTAGTGCAATTTAGGTCCAAATGACTTTAAAAACATCGGTATTGGCTAACGGCCAAATTTTTGTTATTGAACATTGGTATCGGCCCAGAATTTAAAAATTGGTGCATCCCTAAGTCCTACTATTTCTTTGTACTTGAATGTGCAAACTCCAGTCAGCGTAAATGTTCTCCCTGGGCTCAATTTGACTTTTCGAGTTTGGAATTCAAAAAACCCTCTAACTCTGACATGACCTCAGCTGGCATCATAAGGTCACTCCAGGGTGTAACGCTGGTCCAGGCTGTGCCGACTGATGGGAGAGCTGGGACACTGTCAGCCTGGGAGAGCTTTGCAGGGCTTTGTGTGTGGTCTGCTGGCTCTGACAGTGTGTCGCACACTTACATAACCCGACAGATAAACCAGGGTTAGCAGGAGGACAGCAGCAGGATAAGAGCGAGGATCCCACATATATACACAACATGGCAGGGATTCACAAAACACATGCACACCAAGCACACGCCCACGTAACCACACACACACACACACACACACACACACACACACACGCACGCACGCACTCAGGCCAGGTTGCCATGGAAACAACCCCTCCTAGGGAGCACTCGCCTAGTCACCCCCTTTATGTCCTCCGATGTCCTTCCCAAACTAGAACAACTGCTGTGGGTGTCTGTGTGTTTCAGCTACTATCATTTTTCAGTGTCCTGAAAAAATTTCAACCAAGAGGCACGTCAGAAGGTATTATGTATCTGGATGTTACTTTCCTGTCTGTGAAAGCAGTGTGTGTATGTGTAGGTATGACGCAGTGTTTCCTGAGTGTGTGTTGTGTTTATTTATCGATTCAACCCTCAGCAGAATCCAAATCATGGATTTGTAAAAAATGCACGGCTATCAGGTCTGTTCTACCAAAGATAAAGCAAACTATTCTTTACAGTACATTTTGAACAGCCACCCCATCCTGAAGCAGCCTGCATGTGCCTGATGTGTGTTTGTTTGTTATATTTGCAATTGTCAACTCAGTTATTTTCTACCGGGAGATGTCTGCTGGTGTGCGGGAGCTGGAGCTGAGAGAGGCAAAAGAGAGGCTTGCCAAAATGAGAACAAAGGCAGGCCTAATTCCCTCATCAACCCTGTTAGTTCAGTTTTTCACTTCTGTTTATTTTTCATTCCCTAGTCCATAATGGACACACACACAAACCCCGTGTGCAGCATCTGTAAAGAGCAACATGTGTTGTGGCAGTGGTGTGGTTATTAAAATAGAAGAGTTTCTTATTGCAAGATATTGAATGTTGCCACTGTGCAAAAGTTCTTCTTGAGAAAATGTTAACAGCAGTTGCATACTGCACTTTGTGGTCATGATAGAAGTCATTTTGGCAGAGCACCTGCCGCAGCAAGCGAACATGCTGTCTGTGGTCATTTTGACTTGACCAGCAGACTTCACTACAAGCCAGTTGGCTGGCGGCTGTTCTTAAACCAGCCGCCAGTGATTTAACCAGCTGAGTTGCATGTAACACCATCAGCTCAGACGGCCAGTTCACACCGCTGCAATTTTTCTCTGCAACGTACTAAAACGGTTTCATCTCATCATGAATCTTTGGTCTGAACTGGGCTTTATCACACTAATGTAATCAGTAGGCAATTTAAGGGGGGACAAGGGGGGATGCCATCGCTCTTGTTGGCAAAATGACCAATTATGTCCTTCTCGTTTACCTGCTGTCCCGCTCCATCCCCAGATACTACCCTGTTTGGACCCATACCAATAACTGATAACAGATAACTGAAAACTATTGAGAGCTATTACATTTGAAAGAACATTTCTCTTTTAATGAGTGCAGCATTGTAGCACTGGTTTAGTGGCCTGAAAACTCACAGATCTGAATGTGTTAAATAATCTCATGTGATGCTACTCAACCAATCAAATCAGTGCATTCAAATAAGCATTGTGACTCGAGTGAGTGAGACACACATACACAAGAGAGGTGAGATGAGAGACAGGAGTCGAAGAAATAACTCAGAGAAAAACACTGAGGTTTTATTCAAGAATGGACAGACTCTTACATGTTCATTCTTCCCATGAACTGCTCAAAAACCAGTATGTCTAATCATGTGCCCTGAGACTATGGCGATTATTAAAAGCTTCAATGTGAAGCACCACTACAAGACAAAGCACAGAGCATATTTTGAACATACAGTCAAATCCGAAAAATTAAGCCCAAGGTAGTTTTTCAATGTTTTGTTCTTAAATATCACCTAAAATAGCTTTCATCTACTTTTTTACTATAACAATGTATCAAGTGACTATGTAAAATAATATGTCAGTGTTGTTTTCTCAACTTTTTGCGTTGCCCCGGAGTAGCCAAAAAAATTAGTCATTGCAAGCTTTACAATAGGTGGAAATTTCTTTTAATTACTTAATACTCACATGGGTAAAAGCTGGTCCAGCCACTTCATTTATCAAAGTAGGAGATTTATTCATATTTTTCTGCAAATTTTAATATAGCCATAAATCCCAATGCAAACACAATGCAATACAAACTCTAATAGTACATCAACGTCTGTTTTTCTTGAACAAATGCTGGTTTTGGTTATAATTTTGGTCAAGTCCCTCCTCTTGTCCCTCTGGGTTTTAGTTATGAGGAGCCAGGTACATAGGTGTACATTTCTACCAGTAGACTTTAACCCCCACAATCCAGTTCAACCTAAACCCCTAGTTCGCCCTGCCCTGTATGCTTGTCGAATCATCCTTCCCGGAGGCCCCTCTCTGCCTACCACAACCCACAAGGGACATTTCATATTCTTAGTGTGCAGGTTATAGTTGATCTCTTAAAGGGACAGTTCAACCCCAAATCCAAAATACATATTTTTCCTCTTACATATAGTGCTGTTGATCAATCTAGATTGTTTTAGTGTGAGTTGTGAGTGGATATCTCAGTGGTGCTAGGAGAGCTAGCAGTAGATGCATGTTTCCCTCTGCGCGTTAATACAGTTTGTAGTTGCTGTTATGTAGAAATAAAGTAATTCCCTCGTGAAACTGCTCACAACAAGGTCTGGACTATCCTGAGTAACCGGATCATGGTCTCTGTAAAGAGGCATTGCTGTGTGAGAAGACATCTCCATGGACAATAACACTCGGCTGCTCACACCAAAACATTCTAGATTGATAAACAGCACTACAGGTAGGAGGAAAAATATGTATCTTTGATCTTGGGGTGAACTGTCCCTTTAAGATTTCATAACCTTCATGCTCCACACCGCAAAGCATCACTGACCGGCTGTTCAGGGTACTGCGGGTGGTTGCATTAAAAATGTATGAGGCACGACTTAGTCCCCTCA